GTTTGACTCATGTGTCAAAAATCGTCATGGTCTACAGTAATAGATTTTTAAAATAGGATTCACTAATTGTAACTTAAAATAAGTCACTGATTAGAAAGGTCTCAATTCTAAAATGTGGACTCAGTTTACTTTTTTTTATCACAAAATATTGTAGGATTCAAGTAAAACAGAAACTTATAGTTTTTGATATCCGTTTTCTTGCCACTTTTATTCTGACAAGATGTTTGTTATATCAAATGTGAGATTTATTTTCCATCAAAGAGTCAAATTCAAAATTCAAAAATTTAGGTTAGTAATTTGAATCCGTTCACATTTGTGATCTTTTGTCATAATTTTGCATGCTTAAGTTGGTCCCACCCAGTGATCTCACGAGCAAATATGCCAATATATAGTAGCATCACCCATTTTTGACTAGTTCAAAGAACAGGATGCACTTTTGAAGTTCTTTTAATTTGACTTCAGGATAAGCTTGGGTGGTTTTAGTGTGAAGCGAATGTTCGAAGATATGAATGCTGTGGTCAATTTCAACTAAGCAACGATAATTTCCCACCTTGTCCGCATACGCTTTAGCTTTGACATTCCGCTGCATCACGTCGAACATGTCCATAAATGGTGACATCAATGGCCCGATGATCTTCCTTGCGTCTACGCCGCTCATTAGGTCATCATGAAACGTGCAGATTCGCTTTTACCCCTCTACGCATAAATATGGTGACTTACGTTGTTTCCTCCCTGAAAGTCGGCAAATTGAACCTTGTTGAATAATGGTACATCTCCTAGCGGTTGATTATAAAAAGGAGGTTGAGTAACTTGACAGTTGGTCAGCCATGACCGAAGTAGAGTTAAGTAGAGAAGAGTCAGGAAGTGGATGAGCATGTAAGCGTCCGGATGGATTGTGAATTCGACGAATCGAAGCCACTGAATCGAGGTCAGTCCTCATAGCGGCGCACTTTCGCTTTCCCCACGCTTTAGGCGGGTCACTAGATGGGATATCCGCAAAGTTAGCGCCAATTCTTCCCGGATTAGCAGATTAATTTCGCTGCCGCATGAACAAAGATCATTGTCCTATTCAGCTTTCAAGGCTCAGGTTTTTGGAAATATACACTCTGAGACACTTGGATCTACTGAACGGTAAGAAAAAATCGTCTAGTTTGTGCAAGGATCTCCACCTGTATGTCTTCCAACCAGCTCGATTAGTACGGTGAAAGCGCCATGCCGTCGAATGACAGTTAGAGCTACTCACTTTAGGATTGATCGGTCCGCGGAGCTTATCCAGCATCATACTAGTTTTGCTGATTGACCAGTCTATTTCGCGCAGCGAAGCCTTCCTCCAAACTTAGTTTCGCTGAAGCAATTGACACATATGCAAGGACTTTGAAAGTTTTATTCAAATGAATTTGAGATCGTGACAACTATTGACCGTCACGTCGTTCGTTTTTTCTGTGACGATAGTAGGTGAATAATTGAGGACATGTTTTCGCGGTTATTAAATTGTAGTAGCCTCACTTTTTATGGCTTATTTTGTGATCTGGGATTTGAGATTAATGCTACTTCTGCTTGCGCAAGATAATTAGCTGCGGGGACGA